CTTGTATTGATTTCTTATTTCATCGTTATTTATGTTGCTACAAATACGGTATATATATATATATATAAATCTAATTGTACTAATACCAATTATAAGATAGTACTATATATATATATATATATATATATATATACACTATTAAAAAAAAGAGAACGGTAAATGAGTATCGCGAGCAACAGGCGCATCCCAGCTGATAGCTCCGGTACGAGCGGCAGATATCTTAAGCAGGAGTTTTAGTATCAACTACGATTTAAAGGAAGGAGAGAACAATTAAGTCTAGTTACCGCTAATAAATATGAACAACAACAGTACCAAAAGTTATATTGATCCAGCAAAAAGTGCTACAGTAATAATAGTAGTTGAACTTTACGATAAATGAAAGCAACTTCTTAGTTCAGCGAAGGGGTCAAAGGTAACACAGCCTAGAATAGGACAAAACATCGTAATCGTCATTGAAATCGTTTAGTCACCTGTGCGAAATATAAAAAAAAAAAGCAGCACGCGTGGCAGAAATAGACTCAAATACATTGAAAAACAGATGATTACTACAAAACGATATGAGAAGGAGGGAAGGTACACAACTGGAAGTGATTGTCTGTAAAAGAGCGAACACGAAAAGCCATAAGAGGTGAATTTGCGCATTTGAAGTAGATTCACCTCTTCAAAAAGGAATATGAAGGCGTATAATGACGTAAAGGAGATGCTGCGTGCTTCAAGAACCATTGCAATACTACAGATATACATGAAGGAAGGAAGGAAGGAAGCGAATAAATGGGGACAAAAGATGGCTGGCATAACAAACATCGTAGACTCATTGCCTTTGGTTATTGGTCCAACGACGCCGTGTCATCCGCCATAATCTGATTTATCTGATACGTGATAGAATCGTCGACCAAACTTTAAACATCGCCTTGCTAATTATCTTTTTAAAGGAAATTCCAATCCTTAAACAATATGCCTAGTGCACACTACTACTTTTTTTGAACTGGATGTTAATGGGACATCCAGTGATTAGTGAATGAAGGCTATTTAAGCCAATTTTTGAATTTCTCCAACAATAGCTAGGAAAAAATACATACGTACATATATATATATATATATATAATAAAGTGCCGCTAATCGCTACCTATACACAAAGGATAAAATAACATTTGCCATTGTTTATATATTGAGTAAGTGGTAAACTTTACCAGAGGCCAGTCGTTTGACATGTGACTAAAATACTCGTACAGGCGTAACTTGGCCAGGACCAGAGTCATGCAATAATTAGTTAAGGTGACGCATGACATATGGCACAATCCTCCTTCCCAAAGTAGGAAATGACCGTATGGGCTTATAAAGTCAGTAATTTACAAAGAACGCGAATGATAATAGAAAGATCGTTAACGTGAAGTGGCTTGGACGGACGAATGTGACAGAAAAAATGATTGGTGAAATAGAGCAGAGATTAGCACTTAGGTGCTTCATAATGTACATAGGCCATGTCATTCATTTGGTTAGAAAAGCTTTAGATATAGCATTATTTATCATAAAGGTGATGATAGCAACACCGCTTCTAACGGGCACGGGCTAATAATGTTAAGATAGGTACCTAACGAAGACAATGAACATTAACTAAACTAGTTGCAAAACTCGGCCTGAGTTAGCAAAGAAAAAAAAGATTACGTGATGACTGCACGAACATTCTTGAACCACCACATGTTGTCGAGAGCAATACCGACCCTAACGTCGCCTTCTATGTCGCCCCACCTTAGGCACACAATTCGACTCAAGTAATCAACTGTGGCTCGTTGGGGATCTAAATGTTTGGGAATCGGAAATTAAGCGGCAAAACGTAGTAAATTCTACAAACGTAAATACGTAAATAATCCGCTTCCGATTTCAACATTCTATATACTTCGGTAATTTAAGTAGTTCTACCAAGCTATGGAGGGCAAGCGGCAATGGCGTAAGGGACGCATCTCGCTGACATTCGCGCGCTAAAGTGCCCCGGCGATGCAAGATGACCTGTTGTTGTATCAATTATAGAGAGACACTAATGTCACGCCATAATTATGTCTGCTATCTAATCCAAGCAATTACGGAATAGATCAATTGATCACCCATTATCAAGGCCTCTTATGGTTCGATAGCTAGATCTGTCGCTGGGCCTTCGACTTTAACCCGAGTCCAGTTTAATCGCTGAGTCCCCGATTGCTGGACTCCGAAGCTACCCGCGTTAAACGCCGTGCCCCGCCAGATACCTCAAAAATACTTACCCTAGATAAATCCAAACAGACTGACTGCATCAGTGCAGAAAGTCCTTTGTAAATGATATAATGATCTGCTTGTAAATGGGTGGGTTAGCAAACATTCATTGAGAATTGGAGAATGTTTATTGTACATGAGAAAACAGTTTTGTAGAAGTTTCAAATACGTAGACGTCGGTGAATTGGAATTAGGGGTCTAGCAGATGCCTGATGTCCCCTTGATCTCATTGGCGTTTGTGGCGCCATTTGCCCGCACATAATCACGATAAACCCATAACAGACCCAGCTAGTGACGATTCGAAGCTTAAATTGTTGAAATAAAAAGTTGAAAAAGAAACCTGAACGCAGCCGAACGGTCGGTAGTGAACATGGTGAACAGGCGTGACTATAAGAACGCCATAGGTGGTGTTGCTTCCATGATCTTGTTATATTTCCCTGACCCTATGCTGCTTTATCAGGACTTTTCTCCAATCTCCAATGGGCTGCCGACCCTGTGTATCGCCCGCGAAAATTGAGAGACCCCATAGCAATATTCTGATGGTGTAACTCGTTTTAGCACTATAGTATAGCCACAATTTTCGGTAGTGTTAATAATACAGGAACAAAAATATATAGTATATTTCTAGGTTAGCGTTTAGGCAAATATTAGCATAAAATAATAGCAAGGAAGATATCCAATGTCTGCGGCCAATGTTGTGATACGAGGCAGGAGGACGCTACCACCTGCAACCCAAATTGACAAACCGATTTCACGAGCTTTGTCATTCTAGAGATGTGGCTTAATGGCGCAGGCTAAGCAAAACTATTTCGTTTTCGTGAATCGCTTGTCTTGCTTTGCCTGACCGAGTAATCAGGTTCCCTGACGATGCTCTATCGATTGCTAGGGTGTACGGCGGCCTTTTCTTGCACCATAAGTCCGTTACTTTCTGCCGAGTTTGTTATTTTCAATAGTCGGCAGATGAATTGGTCGAAAGCGAATAAGGCGGACACCTTTTGATACACTAAAAAGATCTTCAATAAATATACATTTTTCCATTGCGAATTAAACGCTACACTAGGGAAAGTTCTCCGTTGACAAGTTTCTTTCTTCAACACAGCTTATGAACGTTTATAAAGATTCTACTTGGACCCCGGTTTTTCGTCTCTGCTTGCTATGATTTTAGAAACATTAAAAGTTCAGATGCATTAGGTATGCATACTTTCGTCATACACAACTCAAATGACCTAAGGAATGATTACGTTTCTATTACATGCAAGGATTCAGTTTGAGCTGTTTTGGTACTACTGGGTTGCCAATGGACTTAAAAAATGCGAGGCAAAAATAGTCTATAAAAAATGATGGACTTGGCAAAGGTTGACGCGCCCAGAAGATTGTTGATTTCTCAGTCACGGTACGAAACGATAATGTGAATGATGAAGTGATTTACACGAAAAGAAGCATACATAAACGCAGTGAAAAAATAATTGAAAATAAACAGGCGAATAGGAAAACTCGAAGTGAAACGGGATACTAATGATAAACAGAGCGGTGAGAACCCTTGAGGACAGCTACACAACAGCAACAGTTTGTTATTATTACCTTTTTCAATACTAAATAAACAATAATTGTATTAGTTTGGGAAAACGTTACACGTGTTTTTATTTTCTCTTTTAACTCAAAACTTAAACGGTTCAGGCTAACGAAGGCGTGTGTTGGAGAGAACGGACATTAAGAAAAATGAGCTCTTACGGGCGCTCATCTTTGTAGCATTGAAAAACCGAAAGGTGTTTTAAATACTATAGGTTCGGTAACATCTTAGTACGTGTTTGAAACAGTTTCTTGTTACCTAAAATGACACAAACGCAATATCAAGAATAACAGTGATGACGATAATGCTTTTCGACGATTCTAATTCTCGAAGTAGGCGGCCAGAATTGACAAAGTCACGTATTACGTAGGCCGCGTGCGGTGCTCTTGCACTAAAAAAAAATAGGGTTTGCACACACCTAACTAGCTTCATATTTTTTATGGGTGGATTATACAAGTTATATGTCGGCTCTATATATGGTGAAGGTAAGTAGACTTCCATTCGTAAGTATTGACTCGCAGAAAATCAGGGTGTCTTGTATAGATATTTTATTGATACTATATGAGCCATCGTATTAACATAATAGGCATATCATGTGCTACGAGTGTTTAGGCTTAGATCTAAATTCATATTTAGACTTTATCCGCTCCCTTAAATGACTTACTGTAATACGCTGATGTGTCGGGCTTTGCGCCGAATACCGTTGTTAAATAATGCTTCAGACATCTAACTCTCGACACGACACGACTTGTCCGTCCGCGCCTACGGATCTATATCACGTCCTTTGCCTTTAAGTCTAGTAGTAGTAGTAGTTAAGCTGCTACCGCTACCCAATAATAGCTTTTTTTTACCCACAATAATGACGAGTTAATAGAACCGCCAGGCGCAACGGCTAAATTATAGTCTCCAACGCAGTAGCCGTGATATTTTGTCCTTAATAACCACCGGACGTAGCTCGGGGTATTCTTGTCCTTCTACATACCCTAGTATGCTCTTCAAGAAATGAAACAGTTTTAAGTGTAGCATATCATAATCGTTACCGAGACATCCTACTTTCAAGGTCTTTTCAT